TCTCTCTGTCTGTCTGGCGAACGTACACGCCCTATAGCAAAAACATCTCCAAAAAAAAAAAAAATCACACTGGGCACATGTGCGTGTATGCCCAAACCCTAGGAGGAGAATGGAGATGGGATTGTGGCATGGCCATCCTCTCTGGGAGGTAATTTCTCACTTTCTCTCTCTTTGGCAAGTGCATGCACCCTATAGTCAAAATTCTCCAAAGAAAAAAAAAATTGGTGAGTTTTGTTGTTTTATTTTGCTATAGGGTGCATGTGCTTTCCAGAGAGAGACAGAGAGGGAGAGAGGGAAAATGAGAAATAACTCCTCATGGAGGTGGCCATGTCACAATCTCTTCTCCTCCAGTCTCCTCTCGGGATTTTGGACACACATGCACGTGTGCCCAGCATGATTTTCAAGCCACTGGATCTGGGATTTGAACCATGCAGTCAGTCATGTTGGACCCAATGCCTTAACCTCCACGCCACCTGCTGGCCCCACAATTATGAATGGTGGTATGGTAGATTTAGAACCGTCTTTGATTTTTTTGTCAATACTCCTATCCAGAGCTTTAAATAGTGTGTTCTCTTCTGTGGGACCTACCAGGGTTTGGGCAATGCTCGGTTAAACACAGTTAAACAGATGGCTTGGCTGTAAGATTTTCTGTGACCTTCGGCATGGTAATAATTCTTGAAGAGAAATGCAGGATGGATCGTCTCCTAAACTTACTTGTCTGATGCCTTTCTGGTGAAGCACCTCAGGGAACCAGGGCTTTCAGAGCCCTCCTTGGTAAAACAGCACAGTGATACATCTGCTGCATTGCCGAAGTCAGACGTGTAAATCAGCCCAAGTCCTTTCAACGGCACCGTTCTCCCAAGAACGTAGTCGGAACTTCTGGATGGCATTGAACAATCTGGCTCCTGCTCATCATCCTCGCTGCAACCTCATTTCTCATCGTATCCTCTTCCCTCACTGTCCTGCAAGAGAGAACTCCTGGGAATTTTCTGGAAAAGTTTTTCCTTTCCTTTCCTTTTTTTTTTTTTTTTGAGAGGTTTTTGCTATAGGGCACGTGTGCTCACCAGAAAGGGAGAGAACGAGAGAGACAGAGAGACAGAAAGCCAGAAATCACCCCCCAGCAGGGATGGTTACGCCACAATCCCTTCTCCATTCTCCTCTCAGGATCTTGAGCATGCACACACACGTGCCCGGTGTGAGTTTAAGCCACCAGGTCTGGGACTCAAACCATAGTTGACTACATGGGAGCCAAGCGACATAGCCATTATGCCAGCTGCTGGTCCCCTGGAAAAGTTTTCTTACCCCCTCCTCCATGTACAATCATGCATTCTTTTCATTATTCCCAAAGCAGGTTCCCCTATCCAGTCCATAATCGCCCCTTCATGGCATCTGCTGTCCTGATTTCAGTCAGCTGTCGTTGATGTTAGAACGGTGTCCTAAACACTGTTATGCTGTCTACCTGATGCCTGGCACCCAGAAGGCCGCAAACGCATCTGTGGCATTATTGAAATGATAGTATTGCTGGATTGCTGTGAGCACACTCCATGGCTGTGACAGTTCAGGAACGTCTGGGCCCACTCTGCAGCTTGCTCACGGCAGAGGGGTCCTATTCTCTCTTGGTCACAACGATTCTCTTTTTAGGGTACAATGGTGAAGCCAGTTCTATCCCTCCACAGTATCAGGGGCACATGGACTGAATTTCCACACACGCACAGTGCTTGCTTGTCACTGGAGCACTAGGCCCTGCCAGGTGGCTATGGGGGGACAGAGTTAGCCTAAAGGAGAGTTTGACTCTTCAGAATTGCTGACAGTGGCTCAGAGCCAGAGCTGCAGGACCACTTAGTGCAGGAGCTTATTGCTCAAGTCCTTCTGTCTTTGATACCCAGAAAGCTACCACCAAGGCGTGGCAATGCAGCTGTGGCCATTCCTCTCACCACCGCTATGGCTTCTCAAGTGTTCATTTTTGTCAAGAGGACAACATTGGTGGTGTCTGAAGTTTTGTAGCAGGCTGATGTAAAAGACAAAGATGGGGAGCCAGCAGATGGCATAGCAGCTTTGTCACTGGATTCCCACATGGCTGACCACAGTTTGAATTCTGGACGTGGTGACTTGGAAATCACGCCGGGCATGTGTGCATGCAGCTCCAAGATGCTGGGATGAGAATGGAGGAGAAGGGATTGTGGGGATCTTTGCACCACCACAGTTTACTTGGCTGCCCAATTCTAGTGCACAAGTGCGCTATACCCAAAGGAGACTGTTCATGGAACTTACGTACACAAACGCAGGCCCCTGTCTTCTATTTCTTCAAGATGGTGGAAGTGGCAGCCATAAACCACCGTTGAGCTCTGTGAGGGGTGGGTACATGGGGAGAAAACCCTTCTCCTTGAGGAATCAAGCTGTGTGGTACTCCGCCATGACGAGGTCAAAAACCCCATTCTAACTGTGCAGGCAATTAGAGAGAAGCAGGAAGTGAACAAGACTTGAGTCTTGAGCAACATAGGCCTATCGCCCTGCCCTGGAGATCTAATCTACTCCAGCACCTCAGGAGAAACAGAAACCTTTCCACTGACTACTTCGGACTCTGCTGGTCCCACAGGGGAGCCAGCTGTCTAGGTCACCATCCTAAAGAACTCCCTGAAAGTCATAGAGAAGTCCATGTTCTGGGGAAGCAATTGTCGTCTCTTGTCATGACCAGGCACTGATAGCATGCCCACTTTTTTCTTTTTCTCTTTTTTTTTTTTTTTGCCTTCACGCACATGTGCTCACCAGAGAGAGACAGAGACAGTGAGAGTGAAGGTGAGAAATCACCCTTGGTGGGGATGATTGGGCAGCTTGAAAAACACACTGGGCGTGTGTGTGAGAATGGAGAGAGGACTGGGGCATGGCCATCCCCTTGAGGAGTGCTTTCTCATTTCCTCTCTCTCTGTCTCTCCGGGGTGAGTGCACATGCCTTATAGCAAATTAAAAAAAAAAATAGTGGAATTCTGAGTCACAGGATGAAAAACTAGAATGAGAACCCAGGTCTTACCACCGAAGACCCAGTGCTCAGGACCCTCAAATGTTCTGCTTCTGTAAGTCCAGTTGCAGGTTTGCATAGGAGCTGCAGGCCGGTGGAGAGGAGGAGGGCCGAGAATTAATCAAACTAGGGAGACGAGAAAGCAGAGTGAACACAGAGCCATAGCCCCCCTCTGGGGAAAACCAGGTGTTTCCTGAGTTGGTAGAGATATGATTTCATGAATCCATGACCACAAAGGCCACTTCGCTACCTTTCTTTCTTATAATTTTCAATTTTTATAAATTTTTATTTTCAATGTTTAAGAGTGAACAAACTTACTTGCTCTAGAACTAATTCACTTCAATTTTTTGATTGAAACTTGAAGGGGGGGGCAGCTTTGATACAGAAGTTTGTCTATTAACTAAATAGCCCTTGGAAAAGTATGGCAATCTAAACAGAAGATGGTCTCTCATGTTGACTTTGCTACTTAGGGGTAGTCCCATACCACGTTAAATACTGTTTTGCTGCCCATTTTGCCATATAACCCCGTGCATGTTAAAGATATAGTTCACCATATAGACCTGATTAATTGAAGGAAAAGACAGCCTCTTATTGCTGACATTATGAGGTTAGAAATAGCATCCTATGCTAATCTGCAATGCCAAGAAATGAAGATGGTTTAAATCAGATCTCATGACTAATGCATAAGATCCAAAGTTCTTTTATTCCTGGCTATTTTAGAAAACTGGGGTGTATTTTTACCCTAAACACTAATTCTAAAAGATTTATTGAGATAATACAAAATGCCTTATAATGAACGTCTCACAATCAAGATCTGTGGCCTTAGGATCACAGAAACGCCCAATTTCTCCATTTAAATGTTTCAAAAATTATGTATATGCATGGTTTAAGACCAGCTTCAAAGATATTGGATCCTCGGTTATTATTGTTTTTACATACTCGATACCTAGAAAGATGACTTGCCACGATAAAATGGAAAGTTTAGATTGCTTTGTGCAGTTGCTATTCTATTTTAATTGTATTTATTGTGCATTCGGTGAAATAGAAAGAAATATACCCAGCAATAAAGTAAGCCTTTTATTTTTGCTTGTTTTTGTTTTGGTCATGACAAACTGTGAAATGCTGTGTTTTTCCTATAGTTTCAGTCCATGAAATCTGCAATTTTTCCACTTGATTTACGAAGGACCCTTAATTACTGCTGTCATTAGCACCTAGTGTTCAAAACAGTCTGTTAAAATGTACTGTTAGTCTCACCTCCAAGTCCTTGCTTGCTTTATTTTAATTTTTTCCAAGGAGAAGTAAAACAATAATTGGCTTAATAACAACAATCATTATGTACAGCGAATTAAATAATATTCCTAGCTTCTTAGTGCTTATGTTATTAATTCAGAATTCGGTATTTGTGCGCTAAGACTGGCCTCGAGTTTGAAGTGTCCATACACAGAGTTATTGCCAGCAAGGACTTATTACCTGGGTTTTAAAAACAAGTCACTCATTTGCCTTTTTCTTTCCACATGGATAGGGATGACAGACAACTGCTGTGAAGCTTCAATGTTTCTGCCCGGTCATGCACAGTACTGCAATATAATGCATAAATGTATAACAACAACTTGGGCTCGCTTGATACCTTGCTAGGAATAAGGAAATCCAGCCAGGCGCGTCCTCGTGCACAAACGCGCGCGCGCATACACATACACACACACACACACACACACACACACACAGGTCAAAAGTTGATTCATTCCTGCGATCCCCCAGAATCTTTCCTTGCCGGTTTCTGGCAGCTGGGGCTTCCCAGTTCGGATAGCAGTGAGCTTGGGGGCGTGGGAGGGCGGGGGAGGGCGAGGCGAGCGAAGCGGGAGGCGGGAGCCGGTGCCGGGGGGGGCGGCGCC